CACTATAGAATAGGAACTTTATAATACATTTTAACGTCTTACATTTATTAATAGGAAAAGCCACATGGTTCTGTGACCCATAAGCACCAAATGAAATACAGTGATCAAGCTTAGCAAAAGAAATGAATGTAATGAAAAAACTGAGGTAAAAATCATCCTTCAATTCCCTTTTCCTTTTTCTCAGTAAACACACCCCTCCTTTAGCAACAGCCTCACATGCTTCCATCAGTCTCTGGCCCTGTCCTCAACCCTAATGCTTCATTTCTCTCAAAAGGTATCTTTACCCTTTTAATAATTTCCAGTCAAAATTATGTTGGTCCATTTCATTTCAACATGTTCTGTGTGCAGTTTTAAGACATGGGTTCTGCAGAAGTCACTATTAAATTCTAGAACAATATCAGAGTAAAACAACTCCTAAAAATATTTAAAATCATTCACTTGAGTCAATCACATTGAAAAGTACCTTAAATAAACAGATTAAACAATCTTCTTTCTTCCTGGGGAGTTTTTTTTAAAACATTGATGGATTTTTATTATTTAATTTCAAACATGCATATATTTTGACCATATTCACCCTATCATTACCCTCTCTTGTTTCTCTTCCACTTCCTGTTGGTCCCCATCCTGTTCCAAAATAGTCCCCATTACACTTTTATGCTTATATGTTTTTAGTTTTTTTCTTTATTAAGAAATTTTCTATTCACTCCTCATGCTATCCACAGACCCCTCCCCGCCTCCCATCCCCCAGCTCTCTTTCCCAAGCCACCCCCATCCCCACATCCCCCAAATCAAGGTCTCCCAAGGGGATTCAGCAGAGCCCAGCACACTGAGCCTAGGCAGGTCCAAGCCCCTTCCCACTGCACCAAGGCTGTGCAAGGTGTCACACAACAGACACCGGATTCCCAGAAGCCTGCCCATGCACCAGGGACAGATCCCAATTTCCCTGCCTGGGTGTCCCCCAAACAGTTCGAGCCAAACAACCATCTTCTGTGTCCAGAGGGCCTAGTCCAGTCCCATGGGGGCTCCACAGCCACCAGTCCACAGTTCAAGGGCTTCCACTAGTGTGGCCAGTCATCTCTGCACGTCCTCCCATCATGATCTCGACGTCCCTCACCTGCAGTATCTCTCCTCTCTCTCATCAATTGGATTCATTCCTGGGCAGTTTGAATGTGTGTTACAGCTTATTTTTTTCATTATATTAAAGGTTATTTAGCATAATAGATATTTGTCAATAGATTAATGTGCACATGACTCCTTTGCTCATTTTTTCATTAATTTCTTAAATTTTCATATATGTGAAAATATTTACATAATTCCCCCTCCCTCTTCTTTCCCCAACTTCTCTCATACCACCCACCCTGCTCCCTCCCAAAATCATGGCCTATCTTAATTGTGACAAACACACACCCACACATTTATACACACAAGAAAATGTAAAGGGATTAAGGGTTACTTAGTCCATTTAGTGTTGCTTGCATGTATTTGTTTTTAGGGCTGACCACTTGGTAGTGGAGAACCATGTAGGAGGCTCATCCCTAGGAAAGACTAATTCTCTGTGTGAAATCATAAAAAGAAACCCATTTGATAGCATTACTTCAGAGAATTAAAGATGTGTTCTCCAATGAGTGTACTACAAAAGCTAACATTGAAGATAAAATATGAATAAGGTCATTTCAAATTACACACTATGCAAAAGCCAATGTACTGCAATAATAAGATACAGAAATTTCTATTTCTATTACTTGCTTTATACTTATAAATTAGCATATTTACATAGAATTTATAAATAATAACAATGCACAAAGCTAGTATGTACCTTTTTTTACTTAAGAATGTCTAATCAAAACATTTGTAAGTCACTGCCATGTGAAAAAAGAAATTGCATGCACTCTAAAAAGACACAGTGAAAAGTGGCAGCACCAATCATGAATTTCTAACTGAAATTCTGTTAGATCACCTGGTAAGTTATTTAGCAGGATGTTAATAGACACGAGATTCTTAATAGTAGTATTTTTAAGTCAGGGAAGTTAGCACTTGGTTCCAAACTCATTTTTACACATAAGGAAATCTGAGATAGAGTGAACATAAGAAACAGTCTGTGTTTCATGGCTCCACATAGATATATGCAGCACAAAGGTATAGAACCAAAATTTGTGAATATTTGTTTTTCTATGATATAATACATGGGGACATATGAGCAAATATATATCTAGATATCTACCTACAGAAAATATGCATATATGTATATCTACACACACATATTTATCTTATAATAGAGGGAGTCTTTTAAATTAAACAGCCAGTCAGTCCAGTTTTCTCACAATTTTGTTTTGATCTAATTATCCATGTTGTTCAGTTGGAACCCCTACTTCCCCTTTCGTAAGCTAGAAAACCCCAACTACCCTACTTCCCAACCCCACCCACACTGAAAAACTGAACAAAGGAAAGGCATCCAAGTGTGCACCCAGGGATCTAGCTTTTGACCATACTTGGGCACAGTTCCAGCTCCTGGCTGGCACACCATCAACCCTCCCTTAAGATCTATAAAATCTCCCTGCCTTAGTTTGGGTGTGCGACTTCTCTGGCCCTGACTTTTGGGACTGGTGAATCAGCCCAGGAGCCATGCTAACATATTTATCTGTTTTCAATCTGGTCTGATCTGGCCTTTTGCATTGGCAGAAACATACCAGGACTTTATTTTATTTTTTTCCATTTTCAGCCTTTTTAAACATCACATTTCATTTTAGGAAGCAAAGTAGTAAATTCCTTTTCAACACATACATTTTAAATGCTAATCAGAATGAGAAAATCATTTTAAATCTGTTGCTCTATTTTTACCCATTTTCTCTAAAAGAAAGCACCTGAAGTCTAAAATGCATTTTTCTCATGTGACTTTTCCTGGGAGATAAGAACAAAAATGTATTCATCCCAGACAAAGCACTGATGGACAAACCACTACTACTGAAATGACTCTAAGCTTAGTTTAGTGAACCAGTAAATTTACTGAGTTGCTTCCAGAAGTACAGGTGACTCGAAGGCAACTGTATTGCTGAAAGGTACACCCAGTATGGGGCCATTTATAAAAGCTGTGCCTCTGGAACTCTGCTCAATTCGTAGGTGTTATGCCCAGATCTTGGGGACCCCCAAAAGACCACCATGGAGACCAAAACCCTCATGTAAAAGCAAAGAGCCTTTATTTTCAAGTTCTCAAGCTCTGGGGATTGATCTGTCTGTCCCATGCATTGGTGAGAGCAGAGAGCCCTGAGCCCTGACAGGGTAGGGTTTTCATCATAGCAGAAGTTGGGGTGAGGGGATTTCCAGGGTTCAGGACCCTGATTGGCTGACAATTGTCTACGGGTATCTGTAAAACAAAAATAGGTGTGTGCTAGACTCTAGGACATCTGGCCACCTTATCTAATGGTTAGAATGTTTGGGATGTTAGGTACTTCCTCATCCCTGGGTAGATCCCTGGGTAGTGTCAGCTTCTAGCTTTTCCTGGATCTGAGTGTTGCCTGCCAGTAAGCCTGTCACAGAAGCTGTGTCTGGATCCCTAAGCTGGTCATGGCAGCTGTGTGTGGTCAAGCTGTTTTGGGCCCCTCCACAGTAGGCCAACTCTGTGGGTCACAGTCTCCTCTCCCACGCAATTTTTACTACATATATAACCTTAGGGCTGGCGTTGTGAATCTTGTTTCAGGAAATGACCAGTGTGTTTCCTGAGCCTTGTATATTTTGTTTAGTTCCTGAGTCTTTATGATTCTCCCTTCAGGTTAGAAGGTGTCAATTCAGAGGGAACTGCAACTTAAGAATTTATTTTTTACTAATAACCCGTGAGATCAACTAGGACAAGAAATGTATAGCCAATTGTAAGCAGAGAAAAGGAAAAGGGGGCTGAGACAGGAGTGGTGAAATCTGTTGATTTGCAAAGATGCAATCAGAATGAAACAATCATTTTTGTGTGTGTGTATGTGTGGTATGCGTGTATGTGTGTTCACATGTGTGGGTGCAGATTTTTATGTGGGCCCAGGTGAATGTGGAGGCCTGAGATTGGTGTCGAGGGTCTCCCTCGATTGCTTTCCATCTTATGTTTTTAAGGCAAGGGCTCTCAGCTGAATCCAGACCTCAAAGTCGTGGCTAGTTTAGCTAGACAACTTCTGGGGTTCACCTTCATCTGATTGATAGAATTATAGATGTGCTGCCATGCCCACCCAGCATTATGTTGGCTCTGGGCATCTGAACTTGTCTTACATTTCCTCTCTGCTCTCCAAGCACTTTAACCACAGAGCCATCTCCTCAGTCCTTTCCAATGCATTCTGAGAGGATGATAAAAATGCAAAACTGTGAAAACAATCTCACACCTAATGTCGTTAACTGGAGTTTGCAACGAATTTTCTCTTGAAGAGAACCAAAATCATGAATATGACAAAATTGAGAGCGCATCTTTAATAAACAAAGGGAGATTGAAAGTATCCAGGTAATTCAAACACATTTTTAATATCTTGATCATATTTCTTTCACAGTATGTATAACTTGAAAACTTTGGGTCTGTACTGATCTAAAGAGGCTGGTTTGTAACTACAGCTGTGCCATAGTTTGTAACATAGCTGTGCCAGTTTTCCCATAGAGAAAACTAGCATGTTGAGAAACGGCGTAATGCACAGAATTGCCATAGGTAAGCCCTTGGATAAGAACGTATGAAATGTAGTCTTTGATTCTTATACCTCATGTCAAGATCTTAGTTTGTGTTAGTCAGGAAGCTTAAAGATCCATATTTCTCCTCTAAGGAGACTGAAATCTAGACTTTCAGAATGTAGTGTAAAACACAGTTTCTAAAATACCGGGCTGAGGCAGCCTGGGCTTTTAGACTTCTAGGTTACAGGCTCCAAAAGCTTCTGCGGCAGAAGCAGCTCCGCCCTGTTCCGCCAGCCTCCTAGCACGCCGCAACTACATTTCCCAGAAGCCCTCCTGCGGCTTCTACGCCAGCGTACTGCTTTCCGGCAGCGTTTTACGTCAGTTCAAAGCAAAGGTTCGGCGGCTTGTTCACCCTTCTGACATGGGGTCCTCGTGGTCGGGGAATGCCGAGCTTCCTGGGTCTTCATCCATAGCTGCCCCCGCGAACCCACCCGCGAAAGCCTCCGCGCCGGCCTCCCTCGCACAGGACTCTGCTTTTAAAAACTGCTGGAGCTGTCGCTTGCTTTCTGGGTCTGCGCTCTTGGGGGCGGGCGCCTACGTCTACCTGCTGGCCAGGAGGCCCATGAAGCAGGGAATGCCGCCCAATCCAGGCGCCATAGCGCAGATGGTCGTCGGCATCAGTGAGCGGGGTGGGGCGGGGGCTATGGAGGAGGGGAAAGGTGGGGGGCGGGGACTAGGGAGGTGGGGAAAGTGGGGGGCGGGGACTAGGGAGGTGAGGAAAGGTGGGGGGCGGGGACTAGGGAGGTGAGGAAAGGTGGGGGGGACAGGGACTAGGGAGGTGAGGAAAGGTGGGGGGCGGGGACTAGGGAGGTGAGGAAAGGTGGGGGGCGGGGACTAGGGAGGTGAGGAAAGGTGGGGGGCGGGGACTAGGGAGGTGAGGAAAGGTGGGGGGCGGGGACTAGGGAGGTGAGGAAAAATGGGGGGCGGGGACTAGGGAAGGTGAGGAAAAGTGGGGGGCGGGGACTAGGGAGGTGAGGAAAGGTGGGGGGCAGGGACTAGGGAGGAGGGCAAAGTGAGGGGCGGGGACTAGCGAGATGGGGGCAGGGACTAGGGAGATGGGGGGCAGGGGCTAGGGAGGTGGGGGCGGGAAGGTGGGGGGACAGGAGCGCCTTTTTGCTCCCTGTCCTGTAAGGAAGGTGCACAAATGATCTGTCTTTCAGCAATGCGGTGGTTAAATAAAATGCTATAGACGGAGCACTGGGTGAACTAAAATGCAATATACCAAAGGCACTTTTTTTTCCTTTTTTTTCAGGTATTGCTTGCTGGGGTGTAGTTGTCCTGGCAGACCCCAGAGGGAAGTCCCACCGAGTTGTTTGAAAGCACCAGCAGTTAACAGCTGCAAGGCAGAAAAAAACCAGCCTTGTGGTGGTGGATATTCTTGGCAGCCGTGGACAAGGATGCACTTCATTATAGGACATACTGAGAAGACTGTGACAACATGAGCTGCCATTCTTTGGCCATGGATGTTTATGGTTTTCTCCCCTCAGGTTATAAAGGGACAAATAAATCCCCTGGAAGTAAATGGTTCCATGTCTTGTCCAGGAAGGTTGTGTGTAATTCGAATTATACTGAAAGATGACAGTTTTAAGAAGTTATTAAAATGGAGTAAATGATAGGCCAATAATGAAATAAATTATTTTATTATTATAGTAAGTAGTTCTTTTTATTTTTCTAATCGTATCAATAGCTGTTGCCAGCCTAAACCCTGGATAGATACGTGGAACTAGATTTGAAAGTTTTTCATGCTTTCCAGAGTTTCTTTATGTCCTTCACTGAGTGAGAGCTGCTGATTTGTTATTTCGTTGGTAAACCTTGAAACCAACCGGTGGGTTTGCGTCCGTGTTTCATCAGAGCAGTGATGGAGTGAAAAGATTTTCTCCCCAGCTCTCTCACAGGTGGAGTAGTTCCAAAGAAGCAGGAGTTACCTTTATCCACCAAATATCAGTACATAATTAAAGATGTAAATATCAAAATATTTGAGAAAAATTCAAAAAGAAAAACTGTTGATGGCTTTGCCTATAGGTATTATAAGTATTCTAGATTGGAATTGGGATGATTTTGGATAAGAGAAATGTGTGCTTGTTGTCAGGGCTTGGTTTTTTAGGTGTTCTCTGAAATACTGAGGTGCCTGTGCAAAGGTATGTTTAGGTGGTTCTTCAAAGTAGAAAGATACTATTCAGTATGAATTAGTGTTGAGTACTATGTTGAGCAAGTATTTTAACTTTTTTGATAATTTTATATATGTATTTAAAATATTTTGATTATACATCCTCTGATATCTTTTCATCTCTTATCTTTTTTTTTTAATGACCCACTGAGTTTAATTAGGATATTAGGATTGCTTGCATAAACATAAGCAGGAGTCTGGACTACAGTAATGAAGTGAATATTTTTTGGTTTGGTTTGGCTTGGTTTGATCTGGTGTCTGGGTGCATTTGAAAATTATGTTTATAGTAACAGTGCAAGGGTGTCCTGGTTTATTTATTAGTGTTTTGTTTTTCTCAACCTGACACAAGCTAGACTTACATCAGTAGAGAAACCTCAATTTAAAAGAATTCCCTTATAAGGTTGCCTGTGGGCAAATTTGTGGGGCATTTTCTTGAATAATGATTATATGGGAGGGCCCAGCCCACTGTAGGTAGTATCACCCCTGGGCAGGTAGTCCTGGAGAGGGTAAGATGAGCAAGCTAGGGGGAGCAAACCAGTAAGCAGCACTCCTCCAAAGTCTCTGCTTCATTTCCCATCTCCAGTTTCCTGCTCTGAGTTCCTGTCTTGGCTTCCCCATGATAGACTGTAACCTGTAAGCCAAATAAACTCTTTCCTCTAAAGCTTTTGGTTGTGATGATTTATCACAGTAATTGAAACCCTAAGACAAATAGTATATTTGAAAATAATGTATATACCTTAGTTTAAAATGTTATTGATAAAAATGTTTCTATTCATCTTAACCTTTAGAACATCATATGTTTTGGGGTTTTGTTTTTTATTTGTTTTCCTGAGGAGGGTCTTGCCTTAGGGTTGATGGCTGTTAACTGCCCTGGTTGGTAGTTACTGAAAGTTATGTGACTATAGTTTTTCAAAATGGAAGTTTACCATATAGATGGTTCTTTATATCAAATATTTTTCTGCTGCTCTGCTGTTTTATAGCTTCATACTCAGAGAAGAACTTGAAGACTGAGAATTAATCTCACAAACCCTGCAGCTGTTTCATCCACTAAGATTGTAAAAGAGTCTCATTTATTGACATTTAAACCAAGTTTATAATTCTTTACCAGTGGTTACCATCTTGAGCAATCTTTTTTGGTCAACCATAAGTAGAGACTCTAGCCATTAAGTTTTATCATGAGATTAAAGCAATTGTGTCACATTTACAAGTTCTACTTTTAATGTTACTTGGTATTTTTTTTAAGATATTTACTATTTACATTTACTATTTCTATTGAAATCTTGACCCCCTTAAAGTAACCAAGAAGGGATGAAATCAGTTTCCTCTACACTCATGTTAATATTGGTATTTTGGTCTTCTCTCATAAGTCACAAAATTCATGATGGTGTTTAGAAATTGTGAATTGTTTTCAGTGTACTTTGCCGAAATCCATCAGAGGAATCCCTCTGGTATCTATAGCATCTCCTAAATAAGATGTGAAAGTCCAAGTAATTTTACATCTCTATCAGAATTTGTGGGTTACCAAGTACATTGTCACTAAAGAGAATCTAGTTTTATACCTGTTTGTGGACTCCCTTTCAGGAGTTGACAACAGTGGACTTAAAATATCCAGTAAGCTATGTTGCAAAGAGATGTGCTATTATCCAGGTGTGTTCCGATTACAGAGGAAGGAGTAGGTGTAGCATGATTCTTAAAGCCCCTACAATACTCTGAATGGTAATTGAGTGTCGCCTTCACTTTAAGGTTGCTAGCTTCGTTTACCCCTAATGAGAATCAGCCTGTACTTTGAAGCTTTCACACTTTGAAGATGGGCATTGTCTTCTCTGCAGCTATGAACATAGTAGGTAGCATCATTTTCCAATATAAGGATATGTATTGAATGTCTTGTTTAATGCAGCCACTGTCGTAGTTACCCTAGCTAGATCTAAGGAGCCTACATTAGCTTCTACAAAGGCACTTGCTATTTCACCTTGCACTTTTATGTCATGGATATGACTTTCACTCACTGTCATGAACCAACTTCTCCTGATTTTAAATTTTTCTTCTGAAGATTCCTCATCCATCAGGGTTCATAGAATTTAAGAGAAGGGTGAGGCCTTGTTCTGGCTTAGGTTTTGTCTTAGACAAATGTAGCTGGCTTGATCATCCTATTCAGACAATAAAACTTTCTAAACATCAGCAACAAGGCTGTTTTCTGTTCTTAAGTTGCAGGAGTAACACTTCTAATTCCCTTCAGGAACTTTATCTTTGCAATCACAATTTGGCTTAAAGTTTGTTGTGTGTTGGTCTGACTTTACCTATTGTGGCTTTCTACGTGCTTTCCTCATAAAGATCTAGCTTTTAATGAAAGTGGGAGTTGTGTGACTCTTACTTTCACATGAACAGTTAGATTCTGAGGGTTATTAAACCAATTTCAATATTGTGTTTCAGAATAAATAGGCTGGGTAGTGGGATAAGGTGCGAAGAGATGTGCAATGACTGATTGGAGCAATCTGTACATCTTTCAGTGAAATTTAAGGTGCCTCAAACAATTATAATACTAAGATCACATCATAAAAAAGTAATAATGAAAACTTTAAGGGGCTGGAGATGAAGCTAGTTGATAGAGTGCTTGCCTGCCATGCAAGGAATGTTGAGTTCTGTCTCTAGGACTACATAACCTGAGTGTAGTATCATACAACTAATCTCAGTAAGGTTCAAAGTCATCCTTGGTTATGTAGAGTTTGTAACCAGCCTGGTAAACATGAACTCTGTATCAAAAATGTAGGGTTGAGGTAAGAGAATCGCCAAATGTGTCACAAACACATTATGTTAGCACATGCTATTGGAAGATAGCATGTATAGACGTCAGAAAAGGACTGTCACAAACTCAGTTTTTACAATGCAGTGTCTAGGCTAAAGCTATTGCTCAGTTGTTAAGAGCATGTGCTGGTGCTCTTGCAAAGGACCTGAGTTTGGGTCCCAGCACCAACATCAGGTTTCGTGGCCTCCTAAAACACCAATTCAAAGGGATCTAAAGCCACTGAGCTCCATGTGTACCTACATATGTGCATGCACACCTACACAACTAAAAACATCCTTTAAAAATGCAATATCTGCAAAGTACAATGAAAAGAAAAAGGGTAGGCCTGGTCATAGTACCATTTAGACACTTTTAATGCCTTTGAGTTTGTATCCTTAAATAAACTTTTTTTCCAATGAACTTTTGGGTTCAACACATGCACTTATTGGAGCAATTTAGTTGGCTATGAAGAAAGCATTGTCCTTAATAAGCCCATTAGAATAAGCAAAAGCAAAACTGTTCAGAATTTGTATTTTAAGTGTTCTTTTAAGTTTTAAAAAATATACTTGAAGTACCAAGCCTGTCATTTCAGTTTGTTTTTGGAATAAGTCTGTGATCTTTACAGAAACATTTCAGGGAGAAAAGAATCCTATATCTGCCCCCCCCCCTTCTTCCAGCTCTCTATCTTTCCTCTTTCCTCCTTTCCCTCTCTCCCTACTCCCCCTTCCTCCCTCTCTTTAAGTTTATCTCTTTTCCTGCCCCCCCCCAACTTTGAGTAAGCAAAACAGACTCTGTGGTAGTTTGAATGTAATTGGCCCCCATAAGCTCATGGTGGGTGACACTCTCAGGAAGTATGGATTTTTTTAGAGTAGGTATGGCCTTGGATGAAGTCTGTCACTGTGGAAGTGGGCTTTGAGGTCTCACATATGCTCAAGCCATGCCCAGTGTCTCAGTGCACTTCCTGATGCTTTTGGATTAAGATGTAGAATTCCCAGCTCCATGTCTGCCTGTATGCCACAATGTCCCACCGTGATAATAATGGGCTAAACTTCTGAAACTGTAAGCCATCCAATTAAATGTTTTCCTTTTTAAGACTTGCTGTGGTCATGGTGTCTTCACAGCCATAGAAACCCTGACTAAAACAGAAGTTGACATTGGAGACTGTGGTATAGCTGTGATAGGCCTGACCATGCTTTTGTTTGGAGGAATTTAGACGTTGGGAGTTTGGGTTAGAAAAGCAGTGGGATGCTTTAAGTTCTACTTAATGGGTCATACTAGTAGGAGCATGGAAGGCAGTGGTGCTGAATGTGATTTGATGAACTATAGGGACCTGGCTCAAGAGGTTTCTGAGGAGAATGTTTGTATGTGGCCTAAAGGCCAATCTTGTGATATTTTCGAGAAGAAGAATGTGGCTACTTTTTGCCCTTGTTTGGAAAATCTGCCTGAAGATAAAGTGAAGAGATTTGGATTAATTCTGTTAGAGGAAATCTCAAAATAGTATTAACTCTGTCATGTAAACTCCAATGAAGATGTATAATTAAAAGGAGCAAGCTGAACAAGGAAAAATAAAAATCTACAATTTGAAGAAAAGAGGAACATCAGGAAGTTAAATGGAGCTAAGTCCTGTGTTCTGGGAGATAAACAGATTAAGAACTGGACTAAAGTGAGTGGTGACCTCAGGGCAAGATCCCACCTAGCTATTTCAACTTGTGAAAAGGATTTAAAGAAAAGTTTAGAGCCTGGTGTGGTGGTGCACACCTTAACCCTGATATTCAGAAGGCAAAAGCTGGCAGACCTCCGAGTTTTAGGCCAGCCTGGTCTACAGAGCAAGTTCTAGAGCAGCCAAACTTTGGCAGTGAAGAAAACCATTGAAAACAAAGCTGATGAAATGTAATTCAAAGATCTCTGAGTTAAGGCCAGCCTAGTCTACGGAGCAATTTCCAAGACAGCCATGATTGGGCAGTGAAGGAAACCATGGAAAACAGAAAGCTGGTGAAGATGTAATTGAACTAGGGGGTCATGTTTCAACTCCAGCAAGCAGCAGAACTTGGCAGCTTTGGCCATGTGGCTTTAGAGTCAAGGAACAACTAAAGAAAGCCACTAAGACCAGGCATGTATCAAGGTTGTCCCTGAATGGAGGCCTAAAGTTGCCAATGCATGAAGCCGTGAAGGTGAATTCTGGGTTGTTTTTTTTGGAGACCTCAATATCTTGGAGATGGTAGAGTCATGGATACCTACCGAGGAAAGCTGCTAACAGGGAATGGAACCAGTCCAAGAAAAAAGTGTGTTACAGTGAACAAAGATGAAAGGAGTTGGAGATCTGAAGAGCATTTTGACATTAGACATGGCGACACAGAGTATGATGTTTGCCCAGTTTGTTTTCTGTCTTGCTTTGTCCAGTATTTCCTCACTATTATCCCTTTCCTATACTTGGGAATAGTAATATATATCCTGTGTCATTATATGTTGGAAGTATGTGACCTGCTTTTTATTTTTTATTTTTTGTTTTGTTTTTTTATTTTGATTTTATAGGGGATTACAGTTAAGAGATTGCATGAATCTCAGAAGATACTTTGAACTTTGGACTTTAAAATGTTGTTGAACCTGTGGTAGACTAAGGGAACTTTTGAAGTTGAACTAAATGAATTTTGCATTATGTTACAAGCTTCTGGGAGCCAGGGAGTAGAATGTGGTAGTTTTAATGTAATTGCTCCCCATAAGCTCATAGGGAGTGGCACAATTAGGAGGTATGGATTATTTTGGAGTAGGTATGACCTTGTTAAAGAAAGTGTGTCACTATGGGGATGGACTTTGAGGTCTCAAATATGCTTAAGCCATGCCCAGTGTCTCAGTGTACTTCCTATTGCTTTTGAATCAAG